ATCGAACAGATTATAAATCAGTTGGTTTTAAGCGTTGAAAATGGTTATTTTGTATTATACATCTCATTAGATATACTAAATAAATTAGATATTTCTATAAATGTATACTACAACGTTTCTGCAATCGAGTGTATATATATATATATAATGTATCTTACAGCGATATGCAGAAATTCTGATCCTTTTGTAAATATATACAAGTATATCAAAAGTATATCAGAAATTATGGATTGTCATAGCTGATATTTTTTGGGGGTTGTTTATGACTAGGGCTTTCTGAAAAAAATATCAGAGATGGTATCTCATAATTTCAAATAAATGTTTTAATATAATTTTATGCATATGCAAAAGTATCATAATTTCTGCATATCGCTGTAATGTATCTTATATGTATATATAATGTATCTTCTGAAACCTAGCTAGCTGTATTTCTGATTGTCCGGTTCCGGCCTCAACCCCTTCAGAGAGACATCGCTTGAGTTTTCACATCCGTGGGTTATTACAAAAAGATTCCTCCCAGTAGATAACTGAAAAACCTGTCGTGCTTTGAGCTGTGTGGGCTGCAAAAACATTAAAAAGCGCCACGATATAAACAAGTTAAAGTAAGTTAAGTTATTCTTTTTTTAATACTTTTGCCCGTAGGAAATCATTTTCCACTTAGAGAACTGTATTGCACTTCAGACAAGAGATTGTGTTGTTTTTATCGTTTTACTCACGAAACAATTCACAATATAAACACACGGACAGCGAAAACAAACTGCACAAAATATTGAGATAAACAGACGAACAAGCAAAAAACACACACAAAAAAATACCAACAAAGAAGCAAGCAAGCAAGCAAGCATCGCTCCAAGCAAGCAAGCAAGCAACGCGCAAAAGAAAAAACAAAAAAACAACAACAAAAACAAACCAAAAACAAAAACAAAACAAACAAAACAAAACAAAACAAAACAAAACAAAAAAACAACAAAAAACAACAACGAACAAAGATAATACCCGAAATCGCTCGAAGACAATGATATCTTCTTCGCAAATTAGTGATTTATGTCACCAACAATAAAGAAAAATAGTAAAGCATGACTTCAAATACGACAGGAAAGCAAATTAGAAACCGTATAAAACACAGTATTTATGATTACAGTTTGTTTCTTCCAAAAAACGATATCATCAGGTTGACACTGTTAGATTTTATCACCGTGTTGCTATGGGACTGAGCACGTTTGTATTCGACAACAAAGGTGCCGGCAGTCTTCTAAACGGTGTAAACTGATGGATATTTGTCCGATTTGTAGCAATTCCCTTGTTCAGATTCCCAATTGTGATTGGCTCATTTGTAGAGATTTGTTCGGGTGGCCTTGGTTGGAGTACAGTTTCACTGTATGAAGCGATACTTTCCTTCAAATGAGGCTTGAGCAAAAACGCTTTATAAACAGATAGATCGATAGAAACTTTATTTATAGAGAGTAAGCACTAAATAGTATAAAACAACACTCTCGTGGTCCTCAAAATCATATCGAAAACACTAAACAAAAAAAAAACAAAAACAAAAAGATCTACACTAATCTTTTGAGCAAAACATCAACGTATTTGGCTATTAAATTTTCAGGTAAACGAGACTGAAATAGATCCATGTTAATAACTACTTCAATAGATTAAAAAGCCATAGGCATACACGACTTTCATAACTGGCTGCTGCTAATTTGCATAAACATTAAAAATCAATGTTTTTGAAGTGAAACCCCTTTTAAATCATTGATCTTGTTGATTTAGATAAGGCGTGTGAGTTTCTACTTAAATTAAAAAATCCTTTACAAGATGTGAGCATTTGAAGTTTTGAAAATGCACCAAAACGAGGCCACCAAGGCTTCCAGTGATATACATACAAAACTCTCTATTTTCGTTCTATCATAACTTCTTTGGTATGCAGTCAAATTCTACACAATTTTCTGGAAATAGTTTCCGTGAAGTATTTTCTCAGATAGCATTAATAGTTTCTGGTAAAAATGCTTCATTTTCTCTATCTGAAAAAAATGAGTTATGAAAGTCGTCTATTCTGCGAGTGCGATACGAAAGATATAAGAAGCGTTTCTCTATATATCTTGTAAAAGTATATTGTAATTATTTGGCACTAAATAAAACATTGTCATTGTCAGAATCTAGAAGATGAATAAGGAAAAGAAAGAAGGAATTGGTTTGTAACATGTTTGAAAAATTCGTTAATTAACAGCTGTTGACAAACCTTTTGCAATGACGTCAACGGTATGCTATGCAGTGATCTGGACCAGCGGTCCTTACTTTATATAAATCCTAATGCGCGGAGTATCTTAGCCATTTATTTTGGTCTCTTAAGTTTTAGAGTTGTACTGATATCGATAATAACTCTTGATACTCCTCCCAACAGGCGACATCTGAATCACCGAAATAGATTGTTATCAAGAGCATTGCTTGGGTGTTTAAAACTTCCCAACTACTACTGGTAAGTAGTAAGCACCTTCTAATATATTTATCTATATATTTATATATAACACAAAGATAAGAATCCAAGAGAAGGATACAGGGACTTAGTCCTCACGCCAAGAGGTCTCAAACATCAAATTCCCTTTCTTAGATCATTTCGTGGTTAGACATGTTTTTCAATGACATATTAAATGAAAACCTGCAGCTGTTTCTTAATTCGACATAAACAACTCTGTTCCATTTTCTGATAATTATATCTCGGTAAAAACTGACCGACAAGTGATTCCGTCGAGCAAAGGCAGGAGTAGGATTGTCATTCATTATTATGGGATTAACTAAAGGTAGCGATCAGTGATCTCGGTGGAAACCTAGCCAATTGATTCTTCCCATTAGAGCTCAGTGTAACCACTTAGCCTCCAATAAACCATTCTAAGCTCTTAAGTTTTGAAGTAATCTTGTTTTGATAACAGAAATCAAAACAAGCCGGTCCTTCATTGTGCATATTCTTGCTTATGAAGACCTCGTTCACCTAAAGAATTTCAAGACTGATATCAATAATGTGGCTTTTTTTTTTTCCAGAAGGATAAAATCATACAATACACTTTTGTTCCTGGACTGGCTGGATCAAAGAACACTAGTGGGCACTGTTAATAATAATCACTACGAGCAAGAACGGCCACACCGAGCTGTGGTAAAACCTCATTCGGCAATCCGCTATTTAGAAAATGGACAGACGATAGCTACTGATCAGTTCTAAGGAAAAGCTATACGCACTCCGATATTAATAATCAAGTCACCATATAAAAGGCAAACAAGCTACGAGCTGTTATTTGAAAACAAGCAATGTCTTGGTGGGCTAATAACTCATCTTTAATCGCGAGCAATGGGAGCTTGCCCCTTTTCGCACGTTCAGGCACTGAGGTTTCAATATTTGTAATAATCTACATTCTGCTTTCGGCAACCGTAGTTGTGGGTAATATACTAGTTGTGGCGAGCTACGCCACCAACGCGAAGCTTCGTACTGGCATCAGCATGTTTTTTGTCAGCCTTGCGGTTTCTGACTTGTGCGTCGGTCTTATTTCTATTCCGTGGTGGATCTACCAGCTTCTGTGCAGTCCGACAATTAAAAACTGCTCTTCAAAAGACACAAATTTAATCATTTTAAACCGCATTTTCGATATCTTCAGCGCTTTGGCATCGATAATGAACCTTGTTGCGATCAGCATTGAACGACGGATCGTCGTGTCAAATCTCAAGAAAATAAGCAAGCGTGGTCGTAATAAAAAGGTCAATTTGTTTATGATCTCTGTAGCTTGGCTTTTGGCAATGAGTATTTCAATTTATAATGGGATTTACTCCAGTCTGGCCTACTCCAGAATCCGCACTCTAGTATTATTCCTGTGTGGCTTTGTGGTTCCTCTCGTCATAATGGTCTTCATTTATATAGATATTTACAGATTGGTCAGAAAAACTCAAGAGAAAATTTCCCGCCACATCTCATTACATCAACGCCGTGTCCGCGTCAACACCTTTGAGGAAAGGAAAACTGCACAGACAGTAATTATCATTACTGCGCTGTTCGTGTTAGCATGGACACCTTTTTTCGTAGTGTCTGTGCTTTATCCCTATAGTCCATCGTCCTTACCGTCTGGGGAGAAGCTAAAGAGCTTGATCGACTTTATTAAGTGGATGCATTATAGTAATAGTGCCGTGAATCCCTTTGTGTACGCCTTTCGCAACGAAGAAATCAGGAAGGCAATGCTACGTGTGATTCCCAATTGTTTTTACTATTTGTGCTGTAAGGCTGGTAGTGCACAGGAAAGACGATTACGACGTTATTAGCCAAGACAATAAAAAAAAAAAAAAAAAAAAAAAAAAATAAAAAAAAAAAAAAAAAAAAAAAAAAAAAAAAAAAAGGAAAGAAAGGA